TTAATAATTTTTCGACAGATTGAATAGTATTATAAATTGTTAAAATCGTGTTCAAAAATGCTCGAGGTAAAATAGTATTACAAAATGTTAAACCCTTGTTCAAAAATTGCTCGAGGGATAAAATAATACTATTGAAAAATTTGTTGACAAATAAAATATTGTTCAAAATTGACTCAAGAGATACCTATTATTAGCAATTCCTCGATCGATAATATACTATTAGAAAATACTCGAGAGATAAAATATTGTACAAACATTGCTTGAGATATAAAACATTGTTAAAAATTTTTTTGACAGTTAAAATATTGTGCAGTTTGCTAAAGAGATAAAAAAGTTGTTAAAAATTGCTCGAGAGATAGAATACTGTTGGAAATTTAACGAGAGATAAAATATTTTTTAAAAATAGCTCAAGAGATAAAAAAGATTTAAAAACTGTTCGAGAGATAAAAGAGTATCAAAAGGTATTAAAATCTTATTCAAAAACTACTCAAGAGATAAAGTAGTGTCAGAAATTTGTCGAGAGATAAAATATTGTTTAAAATTGTTGTGTTCGTGTTCTCTATAAACCTTTTCTTGCTCTTTAATGCTCTTTAATTAAAAAAATCTGGTAATTTTATAGAATCTAGTAAATTTTTATGAAATCTGGTACATTTTTTAGATAAATCTGGTACATTACAAAAATATATTCTGGCAACACTGATACTATGATACATCCAACGAATATAGGAAAACGTTACGTTTAGACGGTGCGTGTAGATAGGCATTACAAGTGATACGTGTCGTACTTGCCTCCCAAAAACTTAACTTATTGCAAATTTTTATAACGTCAGCCACTAATAATTAAAGGAAAATAAATTCCATTCTAAAATAAGACTTATTACAAAACTTGAATTTTTGACATTAGAGTCCTTGTTCTTATACATATTTCTAATCTCACTTTAAAAATTTTAAATTGCAGTTTATCTTTTTGTTGTCTATAATAGTAGTAATATGGAAGAGGCAATAGAAATTACCATTTTAAAAGGTTTAGATGACGATAATATTAATATTAAAAAACTTCGAACTGATTCGAATATCGGCGAGCGTATCCGAAAGCTATAAAGTCGTCACTATCTGATGCCTTTAAACATCCACAATTAAGGTCAGGCTGGTCAGGCACAATCTTAAATAAAGTTAGTTCTAAAACGTAAACGATCTGCGCATGCTCAGATGTCAAATAAGAGCGGCGCCCTAATAGTGTATGACCTTAAGTGAATTTGCAATATCAGAGAGAGTTCACTTAAGGACAAGGACTCTAACGTCAAAACTTCAGGTTTTCAATAAGTCTTAATTTAGAATGGAATTTATTTGACTCAAATTACGTTGTCACTATTAGTGGCTGACGTTGTAGAAAACTGCAATATCTCTCTATTTGCTTAACATTTTCTTTATGCTCATTAGATGGTAAGTGCCCACCTACAAGAAATATTAAACCCTCCACCTATTTAGTTGAGCCATTCTTTTTCTCCGTTTTAAAGTGCGTCTTTTGGGCAAGGGGGCTTGCTCGTGACTTATTTTCTTATGGTTGATTTTGTTTCACCAATTTCGCTGGTCCATTTTTTCCCTCCAACCTTTGAAAGTGGTACGTGAGTAGGTAGGCACGTGACTTATTTTCCAAAGCAAGATAAAAATGATAGATTTTAACTAAAATAGTGTCCGAGAACAATATTGGGTCGTTTTTCGTGCCTAACAAATATAAAGAATTAGAAAATTATGAATGGGTTAAATATATAAAGGCAATAAATTGACAAAGTATTTTTCCGTAGATTTTGAGGTAGCTGAGATCGAATCCGTTTACAGAATTTGAAAATGTTTACTAGCCATTTTTCAAGTCTAAATTGTCTTGTTTAATGTTAAAATAATATTGATAGAATGTTCACTGAAAAATTTGAAAAACGTATAATCAAACCAATATAACGCTGTCAACAAAATAATTCGAGCAATGCAAGGGGCAGATAGATGTTGGACTAATTTGGAATTAGAGGAATGTGGTTGAACCATCATCGACAATTTTGATTGTTTGAAGGAAAGTATTATAACAATAAAAGAACAGTAGTTTGTGCAACAAGAGTGGATATGATGGCCATATCGCACGATGACGAAATTTGAGCTTGACGCCATAGGCGGAGTGCTCAATCGTCTGAGTGCGATATGGACAATTCACTCGAGTTGTACAGTATATTTTTTCTACGGTCCACTAACCTAAATCTATACCAAAATATTAAAAATTATTTTAGGTTATTAAGATAATATAATTAATTTAAAAATAATTTATGACTTTTACTAATTTATAAAATAAACAAGAACAAAAATTCATTTCATTTTCTCCATCTGAGATTCGATCTCAAGTCTTCTGTATAGAAGGCTAGAACGCTGACCACAGAACCATCTACGCGTTTATTTTGTTGCTTTAATACTCTTAATTAAATTGACTTCATATAGTTTTATTTAAATTAACAAATTATTTATAATTATAGACGAAATAAAAATAGAAATTCTATTATTTATCGATTCTACACAAGAATAACTAATTTTAATGTATGTTTAATCTCAATAACTAAAAAATATACTGACAATTAGTTTGACAGAATTGTCACTTATTTAAAATTTTAAAAATAATAGCAGTCGGTTGATCAAAACTTGAACTGTGATTGGTGGATTTAATTTTTTTGCAGTATTCTCATTACCTAGAATGGATATGAAATTTATTCATTCAGTTGAAGGCAATAGCATACTTTTTCGTTTTGTAATCTGTGAGTATATAAGCTAATAACCATGTGGGTATAGAAAAATATTTTTTTCTACACCGACACTACAAAACGAAAAAACATGCCATTGCGTTTCAACTGAACGAATATATTTCATATCCATTCTACCTAGTAAGAATACAGCACAAATATGAAATCCACCAATCACAGCTCATTTCTGGTCACACGGCTAATATTATTTTTTTAAATTTGAAATAAGTGATAATTCTGTCAAAATAATTTTGTCAGTACATTTATTAAAGTTTTATACCTATTATATTTATTTTCCTGTTGTCAATTTTTCATAATTTAAATTTTATTATTGAAATTCTTTTATGTTGGCATTCCTTTTTAACTAATTTCTATAAGTTACAATTAGCAGAACTAATTATAACCCCTTCATAATTACTCAAAATTATCTCTTTTTTCCTTAATTATATAAACTTAATTTTGTTTATTTACAGCTTTATATGGATGTATTATATGCAGTGGCGGCTCGTGGGCACTAGCGGCAGTAGGGCGCACACTGGAAAGGAATCCCGGGATTCGTTTTTCCCTTAGGAAAACAAGTTCTCGGCTTAATGAAAATTAAATATATTTCAAAACAATCAGTTGGGGCAATAACGATTTCTGAATGTGACTATAGGGAGCTAAATGTGACCACTCAAAATACATTTAACTATGTGGCTATTTAATCAAAAAATCATTACATATCCACTCTTGAGAAATTTGCGTAAATTTATCAGAAGTATGCAATTTACTTAACAATTCTAACTTGTTAACGCATTTTAAAGCATACGACTCTGAAGAAAAGGTGTTTGGCAATTTAAAATCTCCCAGCAAAACATTTCTCTTTTATATATTCAAATTAGAAAAAATATTTATATCTCTATTTGATAGTTTGTCAACTAAGCCTAGAATTTCCAACGCATACCTTTTTGAGATGAGCAAAATAGAATTTGGTCATCATTGCCAACAATTTGCGAAAATGTACACCATTAAATTTTTTATACTCCTAAATATGCAAAGAAAGATTTGAAATCCTCGAAAAAGTCAGACAAAACCAAAAGAAAAATAAAAATTTTGTCCCATTTATAAATATTATTGATTCTTTTTCATCATATTTTTGACTGCTTTATAAAAAAAAAGTTATTTTTCTTTGTAGTTTTATTTCTTAACTATTCTAATAAATAAATAAATTATTATCATGGTCCAACAAACGCGCACCTTCAGCCGAAACCGACATCACCTTTGTGAGAGAGCCAGCCGGCTAGAAGTTGCCTCTGCATACATTCATATCTGGTCTAGGACAGCGCCCTGCTTGTGACGTATAATCCATCGCATGTGTTCATCTCTTGCTAAGCGATATTGACGTTGTCCTTGTTTTTTGCATCATAGTGAGAGAGAAAATAACGGAGGCACACATTTACTGTGCCCTGTGCCCATCTTCCTTAAGAATTCTCGGAACGACGCTCAACGCCCGGTCGTCCAGTGCCGTGCCAACGCGGTTTGCTCTGAATATTATATAAAATAATAATAGGCATTGAGGAAAATATAAAATATGTAAGTAATTTTTTTTTTGGTTTATTATACTAGGGCACGTACCTAAGTGCCCTTACGGGCAAACCGCCACTGATTATATGCGTATCTAAGGCACCATAATACAATCCATATTTCATTAGAGAGAATATATTCTTATTACGCAATATTTGTCTATGATACCCGACAAGAATTAAAAACCATTAGATCTAGTACGCGTTTGTCAAGTTAGTTAACAGTTGTTCGCTGTTCCCGATTTTTTCTTGAAAGCTTAAAATTAACAGTTTTAAAGGTCTATCAAGTGAAAAAATGGAGACGATGATTACATGAAACACCTCCCAAAATCCGCGACGCAGTTCATGTGACGTCGCGTCGTTGGAATTGCCACCTGAGACATTCCAGATTTACTATCATTAATACAGTACTGTGTTTAAAAATTCAAATAGCCTAAAATGCCTTCCCCAAATTCATCATCAACTCTCTGACTATGATACCTAAGCGCCCCTGTCTGAACGTCGCACTTTCATGAATTCATTGGCCACTTTAATAATAAATTTCGCCAAACGAAAACAAGTCACAAATCCGCACGTTGGCTTTAGGACTATTTTATATATTCTCAAAAAAAGATTTATATTTCTAAATCCGTTCATTCTAGAAATTCCATATTTTTCTTACCTCACTTATGCATTCAGCACTTTTTTGCAGCTTATCTTCTAACATTTTAACACGTTCTGTGGCTTCCATTTCTAATTCTTCCACAGCCTTAACTAACATTTCATTTTGTTCAGTTAAATCGTTAATCCAGTCGAATTGAAGCTTAAGTTTTTCCTATAAAAATAATTAAACATAATTAATAATTTCTCAATTAACTAAGTCTTTGGGTCAGATTTCGTTCATGTGAAATTCTTTATACCCAAAATAGCTATCAGTCCAATCAAATAGACCTTTAAATCAAAATTTTGGAGGAAATACAGAAATTGATATAAGTCACTTTAGAGTATTTGAAAACGATATTTAAAAAAAATTCGTTTTTCAGGCCCGGCAAATGGCGAAAAACAAGAAAATAAATTGTTTTTTTAAGATGTTTTAAAAACGGTAGATGCTATAAAAAAAGTTCTTAATAAAAATTGTAAAGCATAAAGTTTTTCATAAAAATAATACTTAGCATTTTTGGTTATTATTAAAATTAACAGGTTTAGGGTGGTTAGAAATTAAGAAAAGATACAAATGACTTTAAAAAAATCATAGCGAGCTGAAAATGATTTTTTAGTTTCTTTTTATTATTTACTCAGAAAAATATAAACAATTTTTTTAGATTTTTTAAAGTAATAACAATTTTAATTTATAAATTTTCAATATATTATACGACTTTATACCTATATGGTAAAATAAATTTTGAAGTGAACTTATTATGGCTTGCCTGACTTAAAAAATATGAGAGGTGAACTAATAAAAACGACATTGCGAAAGTTTAGACCCAACTTGAAGTTACATTAATTAAATAAAAAATAATAAAAACAAAAAAAAATAAAACTAGAAAGGATTAAAAAAATTAAGAAGTTAAAAAACAGATGATAAAAAATAATTAAAATAAGTAAATAAAAATAAATACATAAATTAAATTAAATTTTATTTTATTTATTTTTATTTATTTTTATTTATTTTTATTTTTATTTATTTTTATTTATTTTTATTTATTTTTATTTATTTTTATTTATTTTTATTTATTTTTATTTATTTTTATTTATTTTTATTTATTTTTATTTATTTTTATTTATTTTTATTTATTTTTATTTATTTTTATTTATTTTTATTTATTTTTATTTATTTTTATTTATTTTTATTTATTTTTATTTATTTTTATTTATTTTTATTTATTTTTATTTATTTTTATTTATTTTTATTTATTTTTATTTATTTTTATTTATTTTTATTTATTTTTATTTATTTTTATTTATTTTTGTTTATTTTTATTTATTTTTATTTATTTTTATTTATTTTTATTTATTTTTATTTATTTTTATTTATTTTTATTTATTTTTATTTATTTTTATTTATTTTTATTTATTTTTATTTATTTTTATTTATTTTTATTTATTTTTATTTATTTTTATTTATTTTTATCTATTTTTATTTATTTTATTAGTTTTATTTATTTTTATTTATTTTTATTTATTTTTATTTATTTTTATTTATTTTTATTTATTTTAACTCATTTTTACTCATTTTGCAAGGATTGTAGCTAAGGGATACTCCCAAAAATATGGTCAGGATTATGACGAAGTATTCGCACCCGTTGTTAAACAAACAACAATAAGAACATTTCTTATTTTTGCAGGATATAGCAGTTTATTAGTACATCACTTTGATGTAAAAACTGCATTCCTGAATGGCGATCTTAATGAAGAAATCTACATGGCCCAACCCGAAGGTTTTATTAAAGAAGAGGACAAATATTTGTCTGTAAACTAAATAAAAGCATACATGGCCTTAAACAGGCAGGTTTGGAACACTCTTTCGAATAAAGTTTTGCAAAATTTAGGATTCAGAAGGGGCGAAGCAGATTCTCATGTTTATATATTAAACGACAAGGAAAAGACGATACTGTTTATATTTTAACTTACGTTGACGATATATTAATAGCAGTTGAAGAATATGCAAGAAATCTAAATTCCGAATTCCAAATTAACTCTTTAGGAGAAGTGAAGTACTTCCTAGGTTTACAAGTGGACAGAGAGCCTAGTGGAATATTTAAAATTTATCAGACGACCTACGTCGATAAGTTATTAAAGAATTATAACCTTACGGATGTAAAAATTTCAAATATTCCACTGGATACCGGTTACTACAAAATAAATGACCGTACTGTATTAGAAAATCAAGATATTTATAGAAAACTCATAGGAGAACTCGTACCTATCCGTCAATTCAAGACCAGACATTGCAGTAAGTGTATCGAAACTCAGCAGAAAGATAAATAAAGCTACAGAAAAAGACTGGACCGAAATAAAACGAATGCTAAAATATTTAAAAGGAACTAAATACCTTAAATTATTAAGAGATGACAAAATACATAAAAATATTCTCTATGGATTTGCAGATGCTGATTGGGCTGGAAATCAAGTGGATAGAAAATCTAATAGCGGATATATTTTTAAATATAATGGAGGTTTAATCACCTGGAGAAGCAGAAAACAAGACTGCGTAGCACCATTGTATTTAGAGAAGATAGTAGAACAACCTTATGGACGTTTCATTGGAGACAATTCTGTCGCGACATCTGTTAGAAATTCATCAAAATTCATTCATTGAGTACAGAATTCTATATACATAAAATTTTCTTATTTTTTAAATTCATATGGGTAGAGTACTAAATTTAAATTACTATTATTTATATTCTCTAAAATGATAATAAATCGTAAATAAATGTTCAACAAGCATAATTAAACTCGTATATTCCATTTTTAAAACAAATATTCTGAATCGATATAGGCCCATCTATTAGTAAATAGAGAAATTACGTTCGTTTTGAAGACGACAAAATTATCAAAGACATGACTTGGACACCACGGAGCTTGCTGCCATCTATTGATACTGTCCATTGTCCTCCAAGATAATTTGCATTGGTATTGTTTTACTAGTTGATCTAAATACAATGGTAGCACTTTCTTCCACAGAAGCCGAAACGATCGCACTTAGTGAAGCATGTAAAGAGCCCTTTGGTTAAGCAAATTATTTAAAGAATTTAACAAACCACTGGAAGAAATTAAAATATTCGAAGATAACCAAGGATGTTTAAAATTACTAGATTCCGAAAAATTAAATGAAAGAACCAAACATACTATGGTTACTAAATATAACTTTGTGAAGGATCTGAAGAAAAAAATATATAATATTTGAGTAATGCGCAACAAATGATATAATAGCAGACCTTTTAACAAAGTCTTTAGAAGCACAGAAGCTAAGACGGTTTAGAGAAATGTTAGGTATGGTTACTTAATAGAGAGGAAGTGTTTCCAGTACGTTAATGTAAACGTGAACGTCAACGCAGAAAAATAATGTTTACTGAAGTCCAAAATATGAGTTGAAGTCACATACTTTGATTTTCTTTTACTATACGGAGAATGGTCGCACTGCGCAGCTTTCTGAGTGCCTTTTAGAAGGAGATAGAAAACTCCGCCATTTTGAACCCTTATTACGTGTTGCCTACATCTTGGCGGAATATTTTTAATAGGTGCGTTTTAATCATCCGCTTCTGCTTCGGAATTGTTGGTTTTCTTGTTTTAATCTGACAGGTTAAAACGACTAAACCGACAATTCCGGAAGCAGAAGCGGATGATTAAAACGCACCTGATATTTTGCTTGCTGCTGTCAGTGTCAGTGAATATTATTTTTGGAGTCACAGTTTATTGCTAAAGAATCAGTTAGTTCACTCGGACCAGTTGAAAGTTCCAAAATAACATCCACTCCAGGGATAAAAATTCAGGATACGCAGAAGACTGCTGTTTTATTATAGGCAGTTGTCATGTATTGTATTATCCGAGTTGCGCAGTGTACAAACTGGAACATTGAGATCAAAAGTGCCGAGTGAGCGATCTGATTCTTTAGGTATAAACTGTGGTATAGGAATCAAAATGGCCGCGCCCTATGTTGGGCGTGTCGGACCTCTCTCTTGCACCGTATAGTAATCAAAGTATGTGGTTGAAGTTGTTAAACGCATCGTGACATTTACGTACCATGACAGATAATGACAACTAATATCAGGATTTCTTCTTTCCGAATTAAAAAGAGGTTATTTTGTTTGCGTTACGTACATACGCCAGAGCCCGTAAGCTTACGTATTTACGTAGACGTGAACGTAAAGGATATTTGAATACGCATGCGCAGATGTCAGTTTTCACGTACACGTTTACGTTCATAGCATTACTTCAACTCTCTAATATTGAGAAGGGGCGTTGGATACACAATATTAACTAAACACCCTGTATTATACTTTTTATAATTGTTATACAGGATGTTCGATAAGTACGGTAAATAACTTCAGTAGCGTATTCTGGAGTTAAAATAAAGATATTTTTGTCATACATACTGTCTCAAAAATGCTTCGTTTCGGAAATACAGGGTGTTTCATAAAAAAAATACAATTTTTTAAATATTTCCAAAACCACTTAAGATATTTTAATCAAACTAATCGCTGAAAAATATGGAAGGAAAAACGTGTTACGCCACTGTTCTGTTTTTAATGTTCGATTTAGAAGAAAAAGCAACAAAGACAGTAAATTTTTTCATTCTTCTTTATTATTTTTAATCTCTTTAAACAATGTACAACCAGGGCTGGTATATCTAAGGGGGGTCGCGACATAGACCCAATAAATGGATGAGGGGATGACCGAAGCTAGGGGGAAAATAGTAGTCAGCTTAAGTTGGCAACACTTTTCTGATGTTCGTTTGGCGAAATCCACGGTTATCGTTTGTCCTGCCGTAATAGTATTATAAAAACAGAGACAGATCTACGTTTAACGTGCATCGTGCATAATAATGTCAATATGGTACAAGTGGAATGAACCACTGTTTTCCTCGTAGTCGAATGTCGAATTAAAACTAAAAACATTTTGTACTTTTTCATATACCAAATTATGCAATTTATTTCCACTTTATTTTAATGTTGCATGAATAGGTAGGTACATGCGTTTGTGCTGTGGTAAATAAGTGTTTAAATGAAAATTATCTCTGAAACTGCATTGTGACTGCACTCATCTCAAAACTGAATGCTGTAAATCCAGGATTTAAATCTTTCATAGTGTTGCTTGGGATAAATTGTAAAAAAGGTGTTGGACAAAACGTTTACAACCTAAAATTGCATGAAAAACATCATAGAAGAAGGAATTTTACCTTTATGACATTCTCTTTCAACATTTTTAAGTTTGTGGTTTGGAGAATGGACTCCGTTACCACAGTCAAAAAATTCAAATTAAAAAAAAAGTGACTAAGTTCTACTAAGAGTACAAGTTGAATATGAAAATGTAATTACTTGATTTAAATGTGATTTAATTAAGAGCTAAATAGATGTTTCATGCAAACAAAGTACTGTAAAATGTTGATAAATGCAAAACTATTATTAAAGAGAAATTAGTTATCATCAATAGGATATTTTGTAGTAGCTGGTCTCTTTAAATAATAAACTTGAAAGACTGTGAATTAGTAGTCACTTTTACACTAGAAGTAAAAACAAAAAAAAGTGCAGTTGAGACTAATTTATGTATTTAATAAAAACATATATTTAACATGTTTTATTTAAATAAAAAACAGGTGTTATTTGAAATATTTTATTTTAGTTTAATAATGTTTATAAATTGTGGGTACATTTCATCCGAATCTTGCTTAATACTATAAAATGCATATTCATTTCTATATGGTTAGTATTGGAGTAGAAGCACAAAAGTTTTGTTTAAAAATATATTCTTTAAATACAATATTCACTAGATATGCTAATTTAGATAATTTCCTATTCGAAGCCATACATGTTTCCTATTATAGTATTCATACGTTTATAATTCTGGAGATACTGAAATATTTTACTTGATTACTAAACTTTGGTTGTTCTTGTTGTGGTCTGCTGTTAACACTATTGTCCTGAAATATTAAAAAAGTTAGACAAAGGTTTGTCCAACTCTTTTGTCAGCTTTGTTAATCTATGCTACTGTTATTCTGCATGCAGACATTTTTTACTGGAGATTTTCTCTAAGAACTATATTCAGTTTCAAATTTCGGCCAGTTTTAGGAAAGTACCTCTGTTGTAAAGGTATTTCAAAGCCATCCTTTGTAAGATGTAGCCAACAAATACATGCTAAAATGTATAGAAAACAAATCGCAAGATATTACGCAAAATTATTTAAATTAAATAAAAACATACAAATGAAGTGAATAATACCTACCAACAATTTAAAAAAACCTAAAATAAATAGACTTAGGGGACTGGAGCTCTAAAAAAGGGAGCCATAATTTGTTATGCATCCTCATCTATAAGAAAATTGTCTTCATCTCTTCAATTACCTTTTAAAATAAATCAAACCAAAACAGCACAAAATTGAAAGTGATCTACTTTTCACGACGTATTCTATGTACATGTGAGATTATTAATAATTTATTAAAATGAAATATTTTATCCTATGGGCGACTACTATTTCGAAAAAAATGGCGTCCAAAATGGACTCCTATGTAGCGACCCCCTTAGATATACCAGCCCTGTGTACAACAAAAAAGTTATCTTCAATTTTTCCCGGGTACTTGTTTGACATTTTACTAGTAGCCAATTGTTTATTTATTTGTATGTCAGACATTAAAATAAATAACTTTACTAACGCTGAAATGGCTCAAATATGGTTTAGTGCTGTGATGTAAAAATTTAGTATGATTTTCCAAGATAAAATGGAATAAAATATTGCCGGCATTTTATTTTACATTAATGAAAGAAAAACAGTCCACTACAGTCGAAGGAATATGGTAAAACTACGGGGAAAACACCTACCCCCAAACAATAAAAATAAATAATTAATTTTGTGATTTCGTTTATCAATATTTAAAATGTTTTTATTTATATACATCAGCGTTGCCAGTCTATTACAATTGCAATAGATCTATTACTATTTTAACAATTCTATTACGTTGTTATGTTACTCATCAAATCTATTACTATTTTTTACTTTTCACTAATTTTACAATCATTGCGTTCTGTCTGCCAAGTTCCTTTAACTCATTCAACACTTTTTACTCCAAACGACCCTTTTAGCGTTCGGTTTAGTCACAGAAGAAAGAACAATACAGAAAAGAAAGTAATAGTCGGAACTTTGAAGTTGATGTACATACTTTGATTACTATACGGTGCAAGAGAGAGGTCCGACACGCCCAACATAGGGCGCGGCCATTTTGATTCCTATACCACAGTTTATAGCTAAAGAATCAGATCGCTCACTCTGCGTCGGCACTTTTGATCTCAATGTTTCAGTTTATAAACTGCGCAACTCGGAAAATACAATATATGACAACCGCCTATAATAAAACAGCAGTCTTCTGCGTATCCTGAATTTGTATCCCTGGAGTGGATGTTATTTTGGAACTTTCAACTGGTCCGAGTGAGCTAACTGAGTCTTTAGCAATAAACTGTGACTCCAAAAATAATATTCACTGACACTGACAGCAGCAAACAAAATATCAGGTGCGTTTTAATCATCCGCTTCTGCTTCCGGAATTGTCGGTTTAGTCGTTTTAACCTGTCAGATTAAAACAAGAAAACCGACAATTCCATAGCAGAAGCGGGTGATTAAAACGCACCTATTAAAAATATTGCGCCAAGATGTAGGCAACACGTAATAAGGGGATAAAATGGCGGAGTTTTCTATCTCATTTTAAAAGGCACTCAGAAAGCTGCGCAGTGCGACCATTCTCCGTATAGTAAAAGAAAATCAAAGTATGTGGGCTTATAGCATTAGTTTATTATTTTTATCATAGTATTTGGTTATTTTGTGTTTCTCATAAATTAATAATAATAAAAAATACAAAATTTGTGTTTGATTTAATATAAACACTAAGGACCGATTCCACCGTTGCGTTAAACGAAGTTTAAAATGACATTTTTACATTAACAATGTCATTTTAATCTCCGTTTAACACAACGGTGGAATCGACCCTAAACTATTAACATTAACTCTAAAACAATAGTGAAGTTCAAATCATTCAAAAATAAAATATGGTGAATGTATCAGCATATTTTTTATTTCTCTTACTGTTTTATTGACCACGTTTATTTCATACACGTTATCCGGATAAAAACAGGATAAAATAGTCAAAATCCGGAAATAAACGCGAAAATCGTCTGGAAAATCCAAATGAAAATAAACGTAGTCATTTTTACTATTCTCTGAAATCTATTACCTTTTAAACCATCAATCTGTTAAACAGTTCTAGCAACACTGATATACATCCTCTTTTTTTTGGAATTTTAATAGTAAACAACGTTTCATGTTTTCAGAAATTAAAGAGTTGAATATTTTTTTTGATTTTTGTTTATTCCGGTTTAGTCTTATAAAGCTTGAAATTTAATTAAATATTTTAAAAATACAACAAGTTGGTTTAATAACCACTACCAAAGAAATGCATAAGATAACTACAAAATAGGTTACGTTTAAAAATTTACATAAATACGTAATATTTACATTGCAGTTGTCAATGTGCAATTCAAAACCATAGTGAAATAAATAAAAGGGAAGAAAAGCCCTTAAAATTTTAATTAACACACAAAAAGTTTATTTTTATATCTAATACGTATGTTTAGTGTTTACATTATGAACGAATATAACCTCTTAAGCACGTTTCTATACTTTTTAATTTCTGTAGTTTTTCAATTTTAGTTTTTAATATCTATTAAAAGATAACTAAAACTAAATACGAAAATAGTATCGAATAGACATGCAAGCTGTAGGTATATTATTAGTACTCGCTGGTTCTATAATTAGACATTACATTTTGAACTGTTATTGCACGATTTTACAATTTAGTTAAAATAAATATATACAATTTGAGCAATACTTAAAAACTATCATCACCTGCAAGCAATCTCCACAATTTGATGTATCTATTTCTTCCATTTTCTTCTCATAAAGTCTTTTAAATTCGTTAATAATATCTAAAGTTCTAGTTTCACCACAAGTTTTATTCCCTTCTGGCACTGGACAACCACCCGCGCAAAAAGGCTTTCCACGAGGTAAATCAATCGTACACATTTTTTAAAAATAGTTTGTAAAAATTCTTGTATAATTATTATTGGTAAACACTGGTAAAAGTCATATTTTGACGTAAATATTTAACGTTCACGGCCTACACGATGAATCGAGAGATGCACGGGGCACAGCACGGGTTGTTTACCTTGAGCTTTCCCTCTCACTTCTACATACCGGTTTAGTTATTAATGGGTCATTACCGAGACTCTCACTCTTATTTCATTCATATGATATTGGGAATGACTACTGCAAACAGAAGTAGTGAAGCTAATGGGGTTCTTTTATTATTTGCGGGATTTTAACTTTTTTTGCTCTTTCATTAAACGAAAAAATAAATTCATCTTTCTGCTTAAACTAACTAGATTCTATAGTATATTTTCGTAAAAAAATTCCTGTAAAAACCAGTATTTTTCGAAAAAAATTTAATTAAAAACCTTAATGTTACAGGTTATATTCACAAAAAAATTACTCTAGATGACAGATTCGGTATTAAAAATTACTATGTTGCCAAGTTGTTAACAAAATTGTCTGTTTCAGGATTATTTAAAATGTATAAATTACGAGATTTTTTTTATCCAGTGGTGATTTATTGGAAAAAATAATAATTTCCATGGATATCTGTTGTGACCGTTATTTTAGTAAGTATTCGAATTTTAAGTGGTCATAGCTTCGTTATTAATAATTATATTTTTATGAAATTTTGGTTACAGCTATTAGAAGACACTCTTAAACCAGTGGCGTAGTAATTTTTTAATAAAAGAAATCACTAAAAAATTCTCCATTTTCGACTACGAAAAAGTATCGTATTATACTCTAAAAATTAAAATAAACATTGTGTGATCCGAATTTAGCAAGGAGGCCGTACACTAATCCAAAATGTTTAAAATAAACCTTTCAAACAATACTATTTCTCATAAATAAAAATTTTCCTTGGTTTTATCGGTCAAAGGTTTTTATTTTTATTGTTTAGCACATTACATATGTTTCGGAAAGTAAAAATTTTTCCATCTTCAGGTGCAGTCAATTGTTAAAATTATAGGGACGAATACAAACAGTTTAAACAATAAAACAATAAAAATAAAAACATTTGACCGATAAAACCAAGGAAAAATTTTTATTTATATAAAAATCTACTACGGTCAGGAAATTATTCTTATTCAAATAATATTTCTGTTTATAATTTAAATAAAAAGTAATTCTGCGGGGTGCTTTGCCTCAATTCATACAAAACTTCCTAAAGGAGAGAAATATCAGAGTTCGATTCTGCCAAACTGCATCGAGAATGCACACTCTGGAAAATGGCGTCCCCCAAGGTTCGAATCTTAGTGTAGTACACTTTTTGGTTGCTGTGAATGGTCTGGCAGAAGTGATTCCTCCTGAAGTGGAAAGCAGTCTTTACGTAGATGACCTTGCAATATATTACTCGGCTTGAAACATGCAAGATATCGTGAGTACCTTGCAAAATGCCATTAATATTATTACAGAATATGCGGAACAACTTGGTTTTAGAATATCAACAAGTAAAACTCATTGCATGCACTTCTGTAAGCTAAAAAAGGACCGCCCAGAACCCAACCTTACTTTGTATGGAAATATTATCGAAGCGAAAACATCAATTAGATTTTTAGGTCTTATTTTCGATAAGAAATTATTATGGAAAGAACATATCGATGATCTTGCAGGAAAATGTAAAAATAGACTAAACATACTAAGAACTATGTCCAGCATTAAATGGGGCTCTGATGTAACAATTTTAATAAATTTATAAATATCCTTTATTCTTTCGAAGATAGACTATGGCTCCATTATTTATGGGTCGCAAGTGAATCTAATTTAAAATCACTGGAACATATTTAGGCCACTTGCTTAAGACTTGCCCTGGGGGCTTTCAGGACTAGTCCATATCTGTCATTATGTTGCGAAGCTGGCATACCACCACTTCGATTCAGAAGACAATTTCTGGATACGAATTACTTTTGTAAAATTCTCTCAAAACCCAAACATCCAGTTTACAATATTGTCTTCAATAACGAAACCAGCGACTCATATTATACTCGTCGTATTAGCAGTGTTCCATACGGTCAATGAAACTAGTAAATTCTTTGGAAATAAATATTCCAGAACCCTTTATTACACAAAAAAGTAAAATACCTCCATGCCAAGCAAAAAAACTAAAATCTAACTAAATTGCAAAAAATTTAAAAAGGATGATACCCCCAAAAGTATAATAAACAACGAATTTAAATGTTTACTTGCC